CTTAAGGAAACTACAAGCAGAAAAACACCTTAGAACATTGGGAAATGGAAATCCATTGAAAACGGGTCATTTAAGTGACTTTTAATTGCCGCCAGCACTTTATGCTTGTTGACTTGTAGTGTTTTAATAATTCTGTTTTTATGCTGTTTGTATGTCGTGTTGGAAGCCGCCCTAAGCCTGCTTCGCGGGGAGGGCGGGGTATACATTTGATAATAAATAAAAAATAATAAAACACAAATAGTGTTAGATCGCTGCTAACAAAGATCCGGAGAGTGATTTCAGCAAAGTGAATCAGCTTTATTGAAGCTTTGCAAAAACATATGTTCTTATCTCCTATTGTGTATGTGATTTAAGCTGACATAGGCAATGTAACACAAGAAAAGAATGCCTACTCAAGATGTTTCCTTCTGATAGAGTGTTTTGTATATGCAGAAAGAAAAAGAAAACTTTTCATTGTTTAAGGCTTGTGACGTGATTAAAGCTTATAGTATAAAATGTGAGAGACTGCAGAGTTGAGGGGTCTAGCATTTTGGATAACACCTTGCTGTTGGCTAGACTCAGGTGCCTTATTTTAATAAAGCTCTCCTCTTGTTAAAGAATCTGGTGTGGTCTTAATTACTGGACAAAACTCTTCTCTCCCGTGCTTCAATATCTCTGAGGCATAAAGCCCACTTGGTCGTGTCTGATATAATTTGTTATGAATGATCTGAGTCTTGTTGCTAGGATGGTTCAAAAAAGCTTAAAATCATTGTTAAGTAAAGATGTTGGCCAAAACACTGCCGCATCCGTAGTATCCTTGTCTGCTTTTGGAATCACTATGATTGTTGCCTGACGCCAGGAAGGTAGTAACTTGCCTTCCTGCATCACAAAATTGCAAGTTTTCGCTAATGGGCAGGCTAATACGTCTTTATATTTTTTTATATAACTCAGCACTAAAGCCGTCCAGACCAGAAGCTTTATTATTTTTTGCATCTTTTATTGCTTGTATGACCTCTCTTTCTGTTATAGGATTTTCCATCACTATTTTGTGTTCCTCTGCTAATTTAATATTATTATAACATATGTCTAAGTATGTCTTAATGGAAGTTGTCGATACATTTTCCTTGTCATAAAGCTGCTTATAAAAATCCCCCAAAACTTTAAAGACTTCATTAGAGCGATATCTCATTCTGTTCTTACCTAGTTTGGAATTCTGAACAGACCTCTTTAAAACCTTTTACTTTTCCGGTGCCTGAGACAAGATTTATTCATGCAGGACTGAATGTGTACAAATTTAAGATCAGATATGGCAACACGGTTAGGTACGTATGACCAACTAACCTGAAAAGTCTTCACTGTGGATAGTATATAGGGAATAGGAAATAGAAATAAAAGGAGAATTCATGATTTCTAAGAACTTAGATCTGGAGCTACCAAACTCAGACAATGTTGTGTTGTGGAGCAAATATTTTTAAGTTTGCCATCCTACAGCTGGAGTAGCTGTAATGGCTAAAAGACTGGGCCATGAGCCTACGACTTTATTTATTACCCCCCCCCCAATTATCCCCAGTGGGGGGACTGTGGCTGACATCGTTCTTCTCGCCTCCATTTCATCCTTACAACAACAACCCTGTTGTGGTCACCCAGAAAATGTCCGTGGCACAGTCAAGGTTAAAAACCGCGTCAGCCAGATCCTGCTAACACACACCTAGCTGGCTCTGGTTCAAATTTCGTCATTGCCATGAACACACTTTTATATTTATTTTTTAATTTCTGTTATTTCTGGAGACTTTTCGTGCAGTTCAGAGCATTTTTACGGGTTATGTCCCTGGTATTTGGAAGATCTGCTACGCACTCTCAGATCTCCGATCTGTGAGAAGTTCCTGGGGCCATACTTCCTGGGTTTGGCTCCCTTTGTTTGGAGAAGCAGGAAGCTTATTAACAGCAGCACCTTGTGGCAGGAAACCGATGGAATTCGCTCCCCGGGCAGATTTGTGACTTCACCTTGATCATGAGCGAAGCAGCAATGAATCCCATCACCAGAGGCAGGGGTCATTTTGTAGAAAAAGAGGTGGAGGAGCTCATTAGCATTACTCATTAGCATAACTTATTTACATATGCCACACCCCCTGACATCACCGGAAGTGTGTCAGAAGGCAACACCCACCGCTCAGGCGCCACTGGACAGTTTTGGATTGCTAGCTATTGTGGGGGGGACGGACATGCCCTCGCAGAGGAGGGAGAGCTTGTACCTGAACAAAACTTGGTCTTAAAGGTACCACTGGACTGTTTTGGATTGCTAGCTATTGGGGGGGCGGGGCGGAATGTGCAGATCTGCCCTCGCAGAGGAGGGAGAGCTTGTACCAGAATAAAACTTGGCCTTAAAGGTGCTAATGGACTGTTTTGGACTGGGGGGCATGGGGGGAGCTCTGCAACTTACCTGGCTGCTTCTTGCTCTGCCTGAGGGCTGCTGGGAGCAGGGGGTGGGGCTTGTTGCGTGTGCCCGCCCCCTGGCGCTCTTTACTGCTGGAGCTCCGCTCCTGTGCGCTCCTGCAGAAAATGACCCCTGACCATAGGCATAAAATGTTTTTAATAAATATTTTTAAATGTGCATCTTAATCATTACTGATATTTATAATTAAGGTCTGTCATGGGCCATTTTCAGATTTGAGAGGGGAATAGTAACTAAAATGAAGCTTCCCTGTTTGGAGGCAGTATACCGCTGAGTACCAGATGCTGTGGCCAGCTGAGGAGGGCAGCTTTCTTTACTAGGCCC